GCGTTTGGGCAAATTAGCATTGTTGGGTGTGTTCAACATAACATTAGTGTGGTTATCAACTTACATCTACATCTTAGATTTCAAAAGATTCTATTGTTCTGCACGTCTAACACCTGATAAGTTTAACGCTGATAAAGAGGATACCATATCAGCAAGATCGTTTATATTGTTAGAGTGACCATTGTGGTTTGCCGTCAATAATCGGTCTAATGAGCTCAATAGCCAATGGCTTCAATATGCCTTGATTGGCGAGGAAGAATAGTATTCTGATAATGAAACGGGCAAAGCACTTATGGTTTAACTCTGTTTGTGACTTGTTTTACGCAGGAAGACGAGGATGTCACCGAATGGAGCTGAGACTTGGGTTTTGACATGTCCTGCTGGTAAGACCTTATGGATTATGGGATTGAACTGGTCTTGATTTTGGCTGCTTGCTAATGATCAATAGTTGTTGGTTTATGTTTACAGGATGTTGACAAGGCTACTGATTGGTTAAAGTGCAAGACCGTAAATGTTGATGATGGTTGTGGTGTAGGAAAGTTGCGGCAGTAAGCTAAGCAGAAACAGAGTTTGGCAGAAAATGCATCACCACTTGGCCACTGATGTTCGCTGTTTAGCTATCCCCAAAATCCATGTTTTAAAACCTTCACCATGCTTGTATACGTAATATGTACCCTTAAGTGAACAAATAGCATCACTTACTCCAATAGGCATGAATTTTTTAGCGTACATTGTGAATTTGGAAGGGTTTGATGTTGTAACTTACTGAAGTTCTAAATTATAATTGCCTTGTATGTTTGTAAATAATTGAAAGAACTCTTGAGTTGGTATATCGTAATAGCAAATACTCCTGCTGCTGTTGTTGTTATATCACATCCATTATGTGCATAGAATAGAAGGGGAAAGTCCGCTGTAAAATTGTTAAGTAGATTATGAATATGGAAGCCTATGCACACATATTGTATCACAATTCTGCAACTGAATAATCTCATGTGTCTCCTTTTTGAAAGATGATATTGGACTTGACTTGTGCTCAAAATTCTTATATATGAACCAAACAAATCTCTCACTCAGTCATCTTAAAAGCTTCTGAAATGAATAAAGGTCTTGTGTTTAGAATCTGATGACATCAATGCGAAAGTCTTTTGTCCACCCTTGATTTAATACCCTTAACCTGATATACATGATTCATAGGTTTTCAATAGCGAAGTTTAAATTTCCCTTCAAGGCTTAAAAGGAGGGAATTTGCACATCTCAGTCTTTCAAAAGTAAGAGGCTTTGAGGGAAGATGCTGAAAGGGGTTACTGACACCCTCGCACTCATGAATTCTAGAACAAACGAATCCTGCTTAAATTCTCTAATGAACTTATAAGTCAAAGTGAACCATGTCCTTGCAATTGAGGATGAATGCTATCTATATTCGGAAATACTATAAGTTGCACAAGTTGATTAGCCGTAAAACATGAATATCAAACGTTAAACAACGAGAAGAACGAAAATAGGTGGGATCTTACAGTCAAAAAATAGGGTGTGGCAAATATTCAACACTATTAATTGAGTTGTAAACACCAATCACGGGTTGTGTGATTGAGAAGAAAGTGAGTAGGTTCTCATATTTAGGAGGAATTCTTAAATAGAAAGACATTAGGATTAGGAAGAGACTTTGAACATCATAAGTTTTGTTGGTTCTTGTAAAACTAAGTGTACTAATTAAAATGTAGTGTATTTCCTTTCTTGGGTAGAGTGCCTCACATGTAGGCGTGGTTTCATCGAACTGGGTTACCAATCTCTTATGTTATTTTACTATCATTCTGGTTCAAGAAGTTGGACAAGTTGTCTCAACATCTGTCCCCCGTGGAACAAAATTTAATCAATCATATTATTAGAAACCAGGAATATTTTAAGTCTAGTTTGGATAAAATTGTTTTCCAATTGATTGTTATCCCAAGTGTACATGTTAGCATTATAACCTATATCATTCGGATTGCATAAAGATGTAGTATCAACAAACATGTTAACAATATTGGTATGTATGAGATTTCCCCTACTTTTCCATAGTATATTTAACTAAGTTAAAATCACCACAAAATATCTAATCATCCATGACATTATGGTTCTTAAGATTAGAAAGCATAAAGCAAGTTAGATGTTTATTAGAAAGAGAAGGAAAACCATAAACACCAGTAAGTATGCAAGAGTTATGAGTACTAGTACAATCAAAGTATCAATAATATTTTTTTTATTAGCATCATGAATGGTCAAATTTACATCATAATTCTAAAGGAGGATAAGACCTCCAGCCTTTCCTCCACCAAAGGTGATGGAATCGACAACATAGTAGCTACTCATGATAGAGTTAAAATTGAAATAAATTTTATTAAAAGAGATATTTCCCATCTTAGTTTTTGAGAGGAAAATGATATATGAATAATGAATCTTAATAAGCTTTTAAGAGCTCTAACTGTTCAGGGGTTTCCTAACCCTTGACAGCTCCACGAGAGAATTTTCATGCTTCCAACCTGGCCCTTTGAGATGAATATGCCTTTCTTTCAATGCTCGTTTTGAGACTTTCATCCATCCTTTTTCAATTCTTTTCATGAATAATAAGACTATTATGTTCTTTAAGCATTTGGTATTGATTGGTTACACTACTAGCTGATTGCTGGGCATGTTTGCATTAAATGGAGAATTTTACATGGAAAACTTCTAGGGTTGGGCTGTAATCTCCATAATTAGGGGAATTCATGGGATTATTATTGTATCTTTTCTCAATTTGATCTATAATTTTCTGCCCATATTCTGTTGATTTAAGCCATGTACCATATGGGTTTTTAGAATTAGGATTCAGGTTTTTATGATAATCTTTCATGCAATACTCTTCATTATGCCCTATTATTACACAGTTAAAACAAAAGCTAGGCAAATTTTTTGTATCTGAAGGCAAAATTTTCATAATGGTGACTTCTCTTGGGTACATGAAAAGTTCTGATTCAAGAATTTCACTCAACTTTGTACCAATTTAGCCCCTTTTCTCCACAGACCAGTTCCATGGTGAATCTGGTTCTTTTACCCTTGCCTGGTATAAATTGAATTTCCATGAGAGCATAAGAACCAAGAGAAGGAAAAGAGAAAAAATGGATAACTCCTAAAAGTAAAAACCATCGTTTTCAGTAGGGACAAGGTTGCTCAGAACACCAACAGGATGTTGTGATGGAAGAGACACGACTAAGCTAGAGAAAAGGCAAAAAACCACAATTCCAGGGAGAACCGCCTAAGATGGAGCTAAACACACTACACTGACAACTAAGCTAGAGGATGAAAAGAGACAAGATCACCACGAGGGGAGGGAATCACGAGGGAGATTGATGGATTCAATCTTCAGGAAGATTAATGAATTCAATCTTTAAGTATTTGCGATTTTTAGACTAAAAAGGTGCAATGCTTGCAAACCCGCCTCTCCCCACCTTTATGTATTTGCGAATGGATTAAAGTTTTAGACCCCTGCCTTCAACAATGCCCGTCCCGCTCTTTTTTCTTGTGGGTTTTTGCGTGGCGAGTCTTAACGGAGCAGACATGTCTATTTGTCAGTCCTAGCTACGTGTCATCCATCAACTGAACAAACTAAAAATCATAGGAAATAAAGATAGAGAAAATCTTAATTCAAATAAAATACGAACTATTTTGACGTTGGTTTCTCATTCTTGAAAAGAAATTTGAGTTTAAAATTTTATGATCGTGATTTCGTTTTTAAAATTTGAAATTGAATTTTCAATCATATTCTCGAAAATCATGTTAAGCATTTTTTTAACGAAAATTTGTATTTTAAGTTGAGTTAAATTTTTTAATTCAATCAATATCCAACAACAAAAAAATAGTCATGAATATCGTTGTAATATAATTGAATTTAGTTTAAAATTAATATTATGGACAAATTTTATATAACATTTTTTTTAAAACTAAAAATAATTTTAAAAATTAAAGCAACTAAAATTTTTTAATCTCTAAATAAAATTAAATATATATCAATAATATAAAATAATTTTATATTATCAACTAATAAATAATTTATAACCCATCAAATCAAACATAAAGAAAAATATTTATTAGTACGAGACAAAAGTTAACAAATGAATTTAGTGACATCTTGAAGTTTACACTCACTGAAATAAGATATACTAGTATTCCATTAAATTCTAGAGGTGTGTATTTTAATAAGCATTTGCTTGTTTTGTTGATGAGTAACTTCTTACACCCTTTAGTTACTACTTATAAACAACAAATTTCTTTTCAGATTTATTAAATAAATAATGTGTTTAATCGTTAAATAAATAACATCTCTCATAATGTGTAAAATTACATCATCAATACATAACTATTAAACTCGATCTTATTATGTAGTTTATTACTGTCCAAAATTTAATCAAACCGTGTTCTATACTTCGTCACGTCACGTGTTCCACGAATCCGCGCGAACATATCTACAAACGCCACGTGTCAACATGTCGGCACAAAAAGAGAAAATCAACAGCCCAAAACACGCCACGTAACCACACACAAACCCACCGAATATTCTCACTACCGAAATTGAATTATCCTTTTATTTGGTCCACGCGATAAATAAATAAATAAATAATAAAAAAAAAACCCTCGCCGTGTGGTGGTGGTGCTTCATTATATAAAAGAAAACCTAACCCTCATTTTTTCTCGGTTGCTACCGTTTTACATAAACAACACAAAATCAAAATCTCTCAATAATCTGTTTCTCGTAGTTGCGTTCGAATTTCAATTATATATAATCGAATTTTTGAATGGATTATTCATCAACCGAATCAACCGAATCAAATACTGAGTTTTTGTTTTTCTCAATTTTCTTCCCAATTTCCATACCTTCCAATTCGGTTTATTTTCGTTCTTTACCTCATTATTCTTCACCTCTGAATTTCTCAAATTCCGATTCGTTCTTCTAACAAACCAAATCAAAGCCAAAAAGAGCCGTTACAATGGGAAAACGTAAGTTTCTAGGGTTTCTTATTCATCTCACTCAGTTTGATTGTTACTTCTTTGAATTGATTGTTTTTGTGTGATGTGTTTAGGTAATTCTCGTAGTAAAGCTGCTGCAATGTTTGATAGCGATGATGATAGTAGCGTGACTTCATCATCAACTGCTCGATCTGATCTCATGTCTGTGTCTGGTACCGAAGATGTTCAATTTGATCAAGATTCTCTACTTGATCAAGCTCTTGATGCTTTAGATGAAAAAAGGTACTTTATTTTTCTTCATTAAGTTGATTATAGATATTGAAGGTGGAATTGAACTGAAAGATTTTTTTATTGGATTTATTATAGGGGTTCCACGAGGGAAAACGCTTTTTCAACCATAATTGATGCTTTTAAGAGCAATATGCAACATCAGTTTGTCGAAAAAAAGTAAGCTTTATTTATCTTGAGTCTGTATTTATGTATTGCAAAATTGTAAAAGTACTTTCAATTCTATGATGATATATAGATATTATTGAAATTGTGTTACTTGTTTTTCTAGGGTTTTTTTGTTTTGGCTGGCACAATTTTTAGAATAACTGATTTTCAACTGATTACTATATGTTTCTTTAAAGTGATGATTATAATTTATCATAACTGTGGTGTGCTTTTTTTTTTTATTATCAGATTTGCTACTTTATTGCATCAGTGTCTTGCTTCAATAAAAAAAGGTTCTAAGAAGGCGTCTGCCAAGGAGATAACTCTGGCATCTCATGCCATTGGTAAGATTTTGACTTACTTACACTTTGTTTTATAGTTTATGTTGCCTTTGTTCATTATATATTAAGTTTCATTGTGTTGCAGGTTGTCTGGCCTTGACAGTTGGATGCAGTGATAATGCACGTGAGATTTTTGAAGATTCTGTTAGTCCTTTGGATGAATCACTTGCTAGAAGTATAGATGTTATGAAGGCGCCATCGGTGAGGAGTTTAGAAATATCTTCTTGTATTCTGTTTTATTTGGTTCTTTTTATGATCTTTGTGTTATACTAGTATACTAACTTATTAATGCTGTTTATGTGTATAGTTGCTGGATTGCTTGGCTATAATCACCTTTGTTGGAGGGAATGCTCAAGAAGAAACAGAGCGATCAATGGACATAATGTGGCGTGTAATCCATCCCAAATTAGGTTCCAATGTATGCATCTGTTAAAATGTTCTAGCTACTTTATTTTCTGATCAGAACAGTATTTTACATATGACTAATAAGCTAATTTCATTATAAAAAAGTTTTCCTTTTTAATTATGTATGGCCATATCTCTTCACTTTATTTACTGCTTCAGATTATTCACTCTTTAGGTAGTTGCAGTCAAACCTTCTGCTCAATTAATAACTGCCGTGGTGTCTGCATGGTCTTTTCTCCTCTCTACCGTGGGCAATTTGAAGCTGAATTCAAAAAATTGGCAAAAGTAAGCTCAGTTTATTCTTTTGCATGCATTTTGATTTCAATATATTCTAGCTTAGTAACAATGCCCATTCATGCTACCTGTAAGAGGTTTTCTATTATCAAGGTAGCATTTTGATTTCAATATACTCTAGCTTAGTACCACTATTATCAAGGTACCATTTTGATTTCAATATACTCTAGCTTAGTACCAATGCCCATTCATGCTACCTGTAAGAGGTTTTCTATTATCAAGGTAGTATTTTGCTTGTCAATGCCATAGATGGTGTAGGACCACTACTTTTTATTGCGGTCCATGCTTTCATTTTTAAAGAGTTCATCAATTTGAAACTCTTTGGAGTTTCACCCAATAAGAATATAGAGGGCTCTTGTTTGTTGTACTTAAATAAGGAGGAAAAGATGAGGGCTTGTATTGGGAAGTGTATAGAATACCATGAGATGAGAATAACTTATCTTAGAATAACAAATAGATTGAATATGGAAAAATATGAGTAGAAGCTTATTCATTAAAATAATTAATATTAGCTGAATGGAAATATTCTACAATACCGTAAATTTTAAACAGTTTTACTTATTTTGACACGACTTAAAATTTTGATATTTAAATATTCATCAACCTTTAAGATCCCACTTGTATTTTTGTAGTTGTTTGTTTCTACTGCTATTTTTCTATTTTTTTTTACACATCTGCTATTTTTCTACTTATGTTGACTATTTAATGCATATTATTTAATGCATTTATGATGATTGTTTAAATTGGAGTCTTGGTAGGCTATTCTAATTCTATGGATAGTGGTTAATTATTTTAGATTTACTCCCTGGGCTCAATTATGAGAAAAAAACAAGTGTCTGAATCTCGAATATAATCAAATGTCAACTAATCTATGAACATTTATTATTATTATTCCAAAAATACATTTAATATTATTATTGCAAAAATACCCTTAAATTAGTTCACTAATGCTGCAAGTACTGACTGGAGATGAGTACATTTAGGGGCAGATTAGTAAATGCATTTCTTTTTCACATGGAATCAAGACTATAATTTATTTAATGACATTACTTAATAAGTATAAAAATATGTAATTTTACTAATCGGAAAGGGAGTACATTTTATCAATGCTTGATTTCTAGATAATATTCGCCTGTACCTATGCCACATATTATATTCCTTGTGTAGCTGTGTCTTTGCCTACGTTTCATCTTACTGATTTTACTTTCAATGCAGTTCAATATCTTATTTATCTAGTCTTCTAGATAAAGAAGATAGGTCAGTAAGAATTGCTGCTGGTGAAGCACTGGCTCTAATTTTTGAAATTGGAGCTATAGATAAATTTAATGCAAGTGATGCAATTCAAGAAGAGAGTAAGCCCCAGGAAAGTTACATATTTTTACAAGGATTAAAAGGAAAAGTGATAAATCAATGCAAAAATCTTTCTGTGGAAGCTGGTGGAAAAGGTTCTGCTAAGAAAGATCTTAATAATCAGAGGAACCTGTTCAAGGATATCTTGGATTTTTTTGAGGTATGTTAGTATTATTAGAGAATAAAAGATATGGAATCCTGAATCTGAGTCAGAAGGCGTCTTTACTAATCTCTTATTGTCATACTAGGATGGTTACGCCCCTGAAATTTCAATGAAGATTGGTGGTGATTCTCTACAGACATCGTCCTGGTCCCAAATGATACAGGTTTCTCTTGCATTCTTTCATTCTATGTTTTTACACTGGCAAAATTGCATTTTTTGACATCTATTATGTTTGCAGCTAAATTTCATCAAGCACTTCCTTGGAGGAGGATTCATTAAGCATATGCAGGTTGGCTTTTTGTTTCATTCTTCTATTTTGAGTATCTAGTTAAAAGTTTGCAACACTGAGTTTGTTTTTGCCTTTTTTCTGCCCCTCTTCCTCCATGGTATCAGGACAATGAATTCCTACATGATGTCTTTGGTTTCACACCCAAGAAAAAGCTTAACAACGGGGAACACAGAATGTCTGGTGGTGAAAAGGTGAGCTTGTGCTACATAATATCTTTTCATACTGTTGACTTTCACTGGATTTACTTCTTTCACTTATTATCTGCTGATCTCCCTATTTTTTTACCCGCAGAGAATGTTCAAGTCACCCAATTCTGTTTTGAACAAGGCTAGGACCCAATTGCTTAATAAGCAGCGGGAATTATCCGAGGTTAGCATTCTTTCTATATAATTTTTTAGAATAACACTCTTACTGAAAGAATTTCAGTTTCATGATTTCATCTTCATTTTTTATTTATACTGATGCAATTCAAAGTCTGAACATTTGTAAAAACCTTCATTGAAGTTGAAAAGCTGTTGAGTAAAATATACCATATATGAAATACAGTTAGGTAAACGTGTGATTGTTTTTCTTGGTTTCAATTTAATTTGACTGGATTCCATTTTTGTTGAATCAAACAGGGCAGGAACTTCGGGCATTATGCAGTCAGTATGGTTGATGATGAGACATGAGTTTGAGTGGGAGCACAATATAAATTATGTAATGCTTTTATTTCGGGATTCTATTATTCATTTGGACATGTATTTACGTGTCCACTGTCGTTGTGTTGTATGGAATTGTTTGACTTAATCGATTGCGAAGTAGATTCGCCTAATATGATATGATAGGACTTTGAACAATACTCCAGCTGATCCTATTCCTCATTAGATATACAACACCTTTTATACCTCTTTCTAGCTTCTTTTATTATGTCATTTTCTTATAATCTGGACTCTTCATTTTAGGTTATTTGATGTGTTACTTTAATAGCGCACACTTAGCAGACAATTAATAAAAAAAATGTATTATATTCTTTTACAGAGATTATTTTTGTATATAATGATAAATAATTATTTTTAATTAATACTCCCTCCATTCATATTTATATTTAAATTTTAACATTTTTAAATGCATCTATTTTATATAGTTCAAATACCTTAAATAAATTAAATAAATGAACCTACATTAAATAAATTAAACAAATGCATCTATTTTAAATATAGGTCAAATACATTAAATAAATTAAATAAATGAACCTACATTAAATAAATTAAACAAATGAAGCTAGGAATCAAAATTTTCTTTATAAAAGAGAATGGGTAAATTACATAAATGAACCTAGGAATCAAAATTTCTTTATAAAAGAGAATGGAAGGAGGGAGTATGTTTATAATTATAATATATAGGGAATTAATAATTGAATTGAATAATTGTTTTGGAATACCTCAAATTTTTCTCTTAGATTTAGTCATTTCGTCTCGCATTTTATTGTATTTTTGCATTGCATTTTAGCTAACCACTAACGGGTTGTGTAGTCTGGTGATTTTTGCATGAAAAGTTACATTTGTGCGCTCGTTAGTTTATGAAGGGCAAAATGGTTATTTTATTCGCAGTCGGCTGTCAATTTATGAATCTAAATTGTGGTTAGGAAATTTGAACCATTTGAGTTTATCGATGTGAATTGAGACCGAGGGTTCAGTTGGATTAATTGTGGGGGATTTGAGCCAGGTGAACGAAATCAGTTCAATTTGGTTGGATGAAGTTAGTCGAAAAAAGTGTGGTCATTTGAGGAAGGATTATTAATAGGATGAATTGGATGAATTTTTAAATTAATAAAGATAGAGTTTTGTTGGTGTTTTCATCTCATTTTAGAATAAAAAATATACATTTTTATAATGTTTTGGTCATTTCATTCTTCATATCAAAAGAAATAAAGATTTTATTCTATTTTTTAAATATAATTTTATTTCATTTTGTTATAATATTTTAAATATCAGAAGAAAAATAACAAGATAATTACTTCATTCATTTTTATTTATGAAGTCATATCAGAAAAATGAATAATAATAATATTTTCATTTCATTTATATCAAAATTAATTTATATTTTTTAATATCAACAATAAATAAATAATTTTACAATTTTTAAATTACATTTTCCTTTTTTAAAAAATCCTAGAAAGTTTCTAAATTGCTAATTGGTCCTAAAGAAAACTGTCGTTCAATTCCGATTTCTTCAAGTCTCCGACTTTTCTCCGAACCTGTAAAGACAACAAAACAGATAATTTTATCGGTTAGATTTTTTTTCGTCCGATACTTTCAGAAAACGTTCATCATTGGGTACGTCGGGAGGGCAACAGATTATTCTGCCGCCGGCTCCCGACTCAAATTTCGTTTCGGCTGAACTCAGGCAATATCTGTTCAAATTAAGGCAACTCGAGAGAGATAAAAAAAGTGGTTTTCGGAGAAGTGATTATCAAAAAAGCTGCTTTTAGAAAAGTGATTATCGAAAAGTGCTTATTGGAAAAGCACTTATTTAGAAAAAGTGATTTTGCCAAAACACTGTCTAACAACTTTCTAGAGTTTTCGAAAAATCCAACGGGTCAAACAAGCTAGCAAATCGCAACAAGCTCACAGCCAAGTCAAAACAACAAGTCTGAAGTCCATCAAAAGCGCATGCAATAAACCCAACATGAAGGTCGTATGAATCCCCAAAAACAATCATAAAAAATGACAACAACAAAAGCACACCCAGTCAAAGCTGAATTCAAATCCATCATAAAAATCGTGAAAAGTCACAAAAGAGTAGCCAACAAAATTCGACGAAGAGATTGTAAGTTTAAAACCCACAAATCAAAAAATATATAAAACTTTTGCAGATCCGGAGAGAAGAGAAAGAGAGTTTTTTTATCATAACAACAAAAAAAGAAACTCAGAGCCGAAAACAAAGAAGAGTTTTTGGAGGTTCAGAGAAGTTTTCAACTTCATCATCATCACCATCCGCTGGGCAAAGAAGAAGAAGTGGAAACGTGATTCAGAAACCCCTCACGGTTTCATCATCATCCTCATCAGAAGTTTTTTTCGGACAGAAGAAGAGTTCAAGGAGAAACCCAAGCGTCACCGATCGGACTCAGAGAAGGGGGTCTTCTCATCATCGTCCGAGCTCATCATCAAAGGGGAAAGAAGGCCATCTCGTCCCTTACCTTCGCCACACGCCGCTCAAAACCTTCATAGAAGGTGAGCAACGTATGATGGTTTCACGGTTTCATTTTCGTTTCGCAGGTACCGCCATTAAAGGAAGGAAGAGCAACATGCAAGACGGCGTAAAGGACCAAGCAACCATGGCATCAGGAAGAAGAGGAACAAGTCGCACGCGAGTTACAGGAAGGCGCCGCCGACGCTCTGAAAAAGAAAAAGGGCTTCGAAGAAGATGGAGTCGCCGCCGTTTGGAAGAAGAAAATAATAAATCATTCACCATCTTTTTAAACATTATTTTTCACAACTTAAAAAGTCTAGCTTTAAAATCTATTTTTAGAAATAAGAAACATTTTTTAACTTAAAAAATTAAAACATCTTTTAGCATTTAAATTAAAACATTTTTTTAATTACAACAAAAATTAAAACAAACTTTTCTTCATCTAAAACCTTAAAAGTAAGAGATGTTCTTTAATTAAATTAAAACAAAATTTTTCTAAGTAAAAATATTAAAATTGAAATAATTTCTCCTTTTAAATGCAAAAAATTAACTTTTCTTTAAAATAAAATTCAAAAATAAAACTCTTGATTTAGCCGCTTCAATTTCTGTCTAACCCTCATTATTTCTTGATTGTTTTAGCTTATTAATCCCTCATTCGTTCGTATTGTCATTTTTTTCAATTGTAATCTTGCGAGGCCATCGTCACAGTTATTGTTCTTGTTTATTATTTTTGGTTGTAATTTATGCGAGACGATCGTCGCGATTCGTTTTCAATTCCGTACTGCTTTATACTTTCTCATATTTTAATTCGTGCCTGTAATAATTCATCAGCTGCATAATTTACCGTTAACCTTTCGAAGGATTAGGTCTAAATCGTTTGACCGTCGAGTCAATAGCCTTACCATTTGAATGGTTCAAACCCTAATAGCCTAGGTGTCCCGCCGTGGACGAAAATGCCCTTTACCCTAGCATTAGGTCAAAGAGTCGTCGTACTCTGTTTTAGGGTTTCCCGCCGTGGAATACCTAATCAACCCTAATTTCAAATTAACTATTTCAACGTAGAAATAGGAGTCGCCGCACTCCACGTAAGCTCTTTCCTATAAACGCTCATTCCCCATTGAAACCTTGACCATCGTCAAGAAGTTTCTAACCTCCCTTTCGAGGGGAACTACGATTACTCTGATTCCATTCCCTACCCCGGATACGTAGGCACAAGATGCGAATCTTAGCGAGTAAACTTAGGACTAACCCTTAGGTCTCTGTCACTCTTAACCCCTAGCTCATCATATACTTCAAAAAAATAATAAAGTAAATATTAGCAAACTATAAACAAAAGGTTCCTGTAGAGTACTACAGAAGTTTAGGGTGTTAATACCTTCTCTAAGCTTAACCAACCCCTTACCTAGGTCTCTCCCTGTATTGTTTACGATGCAAAATTAGGTTTTCCTTCATTTGACCTTTTCCTTCGGATAAATTAAAGATCGGTTGTGAACTAAAGACGTGATTCAAACTAATTAATAGTTTGATATCCTATTCTCACCGCAACATGTTCAAAATTTTTTGGAGGTCTTCTTTGAATATAATTTTTATTGTATTAAGGAATTTTGTACTAAAAAGAAAAATAAATTCATTTTGGTAGAGAATTTGAATACATGTTTATATACCGGCAGTGATTAAAATTGTCTAAAATGGACTTGTCGGATTGATTTGGAGTGGATTATGCATTAGAGAGTGCAGTTATCTATTTTGGATTGGGAATTAGAGAGTAGAATAGTTGTCTCTAGGTCTTTGGCCTTGTGCACAATCTAAAGCAACTGTTGTTTTAGCTAAGGGTGTATATAGGCATGTTTGGGTTGGATTTGGCCAAATTCAATACACAAATCATATAGGATACTTAGATTTGTGTTAAGTAAAATAATCACGAGAATTTTTTATGGTACCCTACGTGTTTCTATCGTATTATATAAATTTTTACAAATGTTTTCTGTTTCAGTAGATGTATTTTTGGACGCATTCAAATGTTCGAAGATGTACCTTCGAAATAATTTGGCGCATAAGTGCGTCATACTCTTCTTCTTACTTATTTCATGATTTTCTCAAACTTAATTCAATCTATTTCGATACACTACTTTACACTATGTTAAATTTTATCAAACAAGATTAAAGAGAACTCAAGGATACATCAATCTTTATCTGTAACATCATCTAACTTCAGCAAAAACATTAATTTCAAGTAAGTTTTTTGAGTTTTTGATAAATGTTTGAGTTTTAGTGTAAATGAGTAGAAGTCAATGATTAGGATTAGAAATGAGTAGAAATCACATCTATCATAGTTTAGACATAGTATATTAATTATTTGTTGGTTGAAAATAGTGATCAAAATAATTTTTTTTGACCTTGCATGTGGTACATTACGCTATTGACGTAATTCTGAGTTGCAAGAAATTTTGGAGATGTATCTTCGAAAATTTTCAACTTTTAACTTCTGCAGGAAATT